TCAGTTTTTACAATCTTTTCATTTCCTCCTCTTTGACGGGTGTTTGGGAAAGATACTTGGTAATGCATACAAGTGGCAGTGGCCTATGGCTGATTAATCTGGACATGTTGTCAGAGCCAGAACTGGCCACAGATTACAGAGGGCTACAGTTACGGAGCCTTGCAAAAGCCTACCTCTCTGCGGTGAGGATGGTGGAGGGCTTGTTTCATTTAGAGACACAGAAGATTTGCAGCCCCCATTGTACAGCTTTAGCCATGGGTCAAAAACAAATACAGAGCCACACAAGCAACACAGGGAATTCTGTCCGTGATTAGAAACAGAGCGGTCCGTGTAGCAGAAAGCATCGCTTGGGACTTCTCATTCCATAATTGAGACCATCCCTCAAACTGACCAAACCAAAGTTTTGTGACTGCTAAAGAGGCGACGGAGATGCCAAGATCTCAGAATCCTCCAGACCAACAGAAAGACAAATGCGAATGCCGCCAGTAGGGGAGGTGGGTGGTTGTTAACAGAATCTGATACAGAACTGTCTACATGAGTCCAGGAAAGCTTGGTGGTGACAATCTCCCCAGTTTGAGAATTCATAGCGTAGATGGGATTTTGACAAGCAGGTGAAAGCACTAAACTGGAAAACAAAACCACATTCTGTCACGGAGAGCTGCTTCATTCTCGTGGCATTATAGCAGGGCTTTATCTTTTGAGACATGTTTTTGCCTACTTCTTGGAGACTTATGAAGGATTCTGCCATTGATTTTGGGCCACAGACGTGTATTTGTGTAGTGTTTTTGGTTTGGCTTCTCCCTCGGCACACTTGGTATTACGGGTAGTGATTTCCACCGCTGGGACGTCAGTTCCTCTGAGCGACTCTGCAGATGCGGGCTTGCTTCTCAGGAGGCACTTGGCACTTGGTGTGTGCTCACCCTTGCTGTCCAGCTCGGGGAGCAAGAGAGATCGCCAGAAGAACTAGAAGTACCACTGACTGCATCTGATTGTCCAGCAACCTTGACGAATTCATTTATTAATTCCAGGAGTTTACCTGTATAGTATTCTTACAGATTTTCTTCATACATAATCATGCAGTCTGGGAATAATGATATTTTTATTCCTTCCTTCCCAGCCCTGTGTTTTACTTCTCTTTTTGCCCATAGAACCTGGCTAATGTAAGACTTCCAGAACAGTGGTGATTAGAAGTGGTAGTGGTGGGCACCCACGGACTCGCTCCTGTTCTTGGAGGCATGGCAGGGGCTCTTCCCAGCAGTATTTAAGTTAGGTTTAATGTAAATATTCACCTTCAGTTCAAAGAAACGTCTTCCTGTTTTTACTTTGCTAAGAGTTTTTACCATGAGTGGTTGGTAAACTTTGCCAGATGCTTTTTCTGCATATATTAAGACACCTGTGGTTCTTCTGTTTTCTGAAATCTGGTCAGTTACATCGATTGCTTTTTTTAAAAAATTAAGACAGTTTTTTTTTGTTTTTGTTTTTTTTTAGAGCAGTTTTAGGTTCGCAACAAAATTGAGGGAAGATACGGGGATTTCCCCTCTGCCCTGATACATGCATAACCTGCCCCATTATCAGCATCCCCCAGCAGAGTGGTACATGTGTTATAACTGATGAACCTACATGGACACATCAGTATCACCCGAAGTCCACAGTTTGCCCTATGGTTCACCCTTGGTGGGTACATTCTGTGGGTTTGGACAGATGTATAATGACATGTATCATCACTATACTGTCATACGTAATATTTTCACTGCCCTAAAAATCCTTTGTGCTCCACCTTTTCATCCCTGCCCCCCAAACTCTGCATCCACTGAAATTTTACTGTCTCTTCGGTTTTGCCATTTCCAGAATGTCATGTAGTTGGAATCATATACTGTGATCGGCTTCTCTCACTTAGTAATATGCATTTAAGGTTCCCCTAAGTCTTTTCATGGTTTGGTAGCTCATTGCTTTTTAGCACTAAATATTCCATTGCCTGGATGGAATAAACCGTTTGTTTATCCTTTCACCTGCTGAAGGGTGTCTTGGTGGCTTTCATGCTTTGGTATGAAGGCTGCTGCAAACATAGATCACTTTTTTGAACGTTTAACCACCTTTGCATTCCTTTAACGAACCCCTCTTGGTCATAATATATTATTTAAAAATGTGTGATTAAATTGCTGATTTTTTTTTTTTTTTTTTAAGATTTTGTACCTGTGTTTATAAGAAAGATTGATTTGTACCCTTTCTCATATTGTCCTTGTCTGGTGTTGTATCATTGTTTTGCTGGTCTCATAAGATAAGTTGGGAAATGTTCCCTATTTGTTCAGTGGAAGAATTTCTGTAAGATTAATATTATTCTTCCTTAAATTACTGGAAGAATTCTGATACTCCTTTGTGGGAAGAATTTTAATTACAGACTGACCATTTTTAATGGAATAGGTCTGTTTAGGCTTTATATTTCTGGTTTTGGTTTTGTACAATAGCAATTTATAATGGCTTAAATTGTACTTTACAAAGAATTGTGTATGCATCTTGGGGTACCTGGATGGCTCAGTTGGTTAGGTGTCTGCCTTCAGCTTGGGTCATGATCCCAGGGTCCTGGGATCAAGCCCCAAGTCAGGCTCCCTGTTCAGTGGGAAGCCTGCTTCTCCCTCTCCCTCTGCCACTACCCCCTGCTTGTGTGCTCTCTCTCTCTCTCAGTTAAATAAATAAATAAAATATTTTAAAAAAAGAATTGTGTATGCATCTCACCTTTCATGTTCATTGACATAAAGTTGTTCATGATACTCTCTTATTAATATCTGATATTCTATCATTACCTCCTATTATTAACGTTCTCTTACCTGTTCTGCTTCATCCTTGATGTTACTAGTTTTCGCCTTATCTTTTTTCCCTTGATTAGTCTTGCTAGAGGTCTATCAGTTGCATTATTCTTGTTAAAAAAAAAACCCTTGATTTTGTTCGACTTCTAAATTGTACTGTGAGATACGGGTATTTAGACCATTAATTTTCAATCTTCATTTCTAATACATGCATTTAAGAGTATAGATCTTAGGGGGCGCCTGGGTGGCTCAGTTGGTTGGGCGACTGCCTTCGGCTCAGGTCATGATCCTGGAGTCCTGGGATCGAGTCCCACATCAGGCTCCCTGCTCAGCGGGGGGTCTGCTTCTCCCTCTGCCCTCTTCCCTCTCGTGCTCTCTGTCTCTCATTCTCTCTCTCTCAAATAAATAAATAAATAAATAAAATCTTTTAAAAAAAAAAAAGAGTATAGATCTTAGGGATGCCAGGCCAACTCAGTAGGTGGAACGCACAACTCTTGATCTTGATGTTGTAAGTTCAAGCCCTAGGTTGGGTGTAGAGATTACTTAAAAATAAAGTCTTAAAAAAAAAAAAGTGTAGATTTTAATCTAATCACAGCTCTGTCTGCATGTAGTGTTGATCTTTCTTTTAATTGTATTGTTGAATTCAGAATACTTGGAATTTCTTTTTGGCTAATGGGTTACTTGAAATACATTGCTTAATTTCCAAACAGTTGGAGATTTTTTTTTCTTTTTTTTTTTTTTTTAAGATTTTATTTATTTGACACAGAGGGAGAGGGAGAAGCAGGCTCCCTGAGGAGCAGGGAGCCCGATGTAGGGCTCGATCCCAGGACCCTGGGATCATGACCTGAGCCGAAGGCAGTCGCTTAACCAGCTGAGCCACCCAGGCGCCCCCAGTTGGAGATTTTCTAGTTATTTTGTTGTCCAGCTTTATGCTAGAGACAGAATATACTTTTAATAATTTTAGTCCTTTGATATTTATTGAATCTTACTCTTTCACCGGCATGTGGTCAGTTTTAGTGAATACCTCATGTGCATAGTTACTGGGTATTTCCCTTGCAGAGGTGAATTGTGCTCGGGCGTAGTGCTTTCTGTTGGTTAGACTGAGTTTGTCAGTCTTGCTGTTCCTGTCTTGTGTCCTGGTCCCAGGTGGACTCCTAGTCCCTTCTGCCTGTTTTCAGCCTCACCGAGCTTCTAAAGGCTCCCTCTGCTCTTGGTTTCAGGATTGGTGACTGTCATAAAGGGACAACTAGCAGAGTGTGTGGGTCAGTTCTCCACCCTGTCCTGCTCACCAGAGTCCTGGGGTCCCCACGCTCATAACTTGGTCTCTCACTGCCAGAAGCTCAGCTGGCTTCTCTCTCATCGGTGGCTTTTCTTGGATCTTCAGGCTCTCGAAGGCCCAGAGTCGGCAAATGCCCTTTGGGAAAAGGCAGTTGTTCAGTGTCTCTTATGTCTCCATCTGTGTCCCCTGCTGTCCTGCTTGCCTCACAACATCTCGGACTCCAGACACTGGGCTGGTTTTTAATCTGACTTTCCTGAGTTTTCTCAGTGGGAGTGTTAATCTTGGCCAAACCATCCCCCCACATCCAGACGGAGGTCCTGTCACACCGGCAGACATTGGTTTGTTTATGCTTTGCGGTTTAGTTTTGCTTTCAGTTGTGGCTTGTCTGACTCTCCTGCTGAGGGACTGGCGAAGCGGGAGGACTTGGTTTTAACTCTGGGGTTTTCGTGTCATGACCACTCATTGAGTTTTTATTGTATGAAGAAAGAACTTGCATCTCACATAGAAGTTTTCAAAAGTAGGCAACAAAATTAATGTATTTGACTTTCCTATGAGATTTCCTCACAGATTTAAAGGCTATGATTTTAAAAGGGAGGAGGGTGAGGGGACACTGTTTATAGATAACGTGGTGAATTTTTGACAGAGCTGAAATAGGACTCCTGGCCTTTTAATTTATTAGTAAAAATTTGACAAAGAGTTGTTATGCTACCGTGAATTAGGTACTGCTCTGCGTGCGGGGGAGTACAGTGATTATCTTGGTAAATCACGTCTCAGTTCTCCCGATGCTCAGCTTCTGCATATGACATGACCGTAGGGGAAGAACATAGAACAGTGTTGTTAATATAAGGATTAGTATGTCACATTTTAATAGATTTCAAATATGGTACACTGACAGTTTTTTTTTTTCCCTCTTCTAGAGTATGACAGATACATAGCATCTAGCAAAATAATGGCAGCTGCTTACCTTGACCCAAACTTGAATCACACACCGAATTCGAGTACCAAGCCTCATCTGGGTACTGGAGTGGAACGTTCCCCTGGGGCAATGGAGCGAGTGTTGAAGGTCTTTCATTATTTTGAAAACAGCAGTGAGCCAGCCACTTGGGCCAGTATTATCAGGCATGGAGATGCTACTGATGTCAGGGTAAGTACATTTTCCTAGGAGATATCCTCCATGGACATTGAGGTTAAATAGGCATGTAGCTTAATGGCACATACCAAAAAAAGATAAAAATTTTTATTCCCATATTACAGCGATGTTAACTTTTTCTTTATAATATTTATTTACTTAATATGTGACTGACCAGGATTTTAATTGTAAAATCTCTTAGGGAAATAATAACTGAGTCATATGTTATTCATATAATGCTATTGATGCTTACCTCTCCTTTTTAAAAAAAAAAAAAAAAAGTCTTTAGGATACAAGAGAACAAAGCAATTAAAATTGCCTCTAATACTTAGGAAATAAACTATTTTCTAGAAAGTGCATCTTGAAGGTATCTGCAGGACTCTAAATAGGATAGGTTCTTCAAAAACTGATGGGTTCCATATACCAGACACTTGTCAAGGTTCTGGGGATGTAAAGGGTCCCTGCTTATACAGCAGCCTACTGTCTGCTGAGGGCGAGGGGGCGGGGGGGCACCCATGGCCTTAGCTGCGGTTCAGAGTGCGCCTGCCAAGGCAATCCTGGTGGCGAGGAAGGCTGCGTGAGTGATGCTGAGTGTAGGTGGTAGCCTGGGGGTGGTCAGTGAGCATCCTGGCCGAGAGTGGTGAGAGGCACCTCGCGGGCCAAGGTTGCTGAGAGTGGGGGGTGAGAGTGTGGTTTCAGAAAACTGAGTTCAGGACGTCAGTTTTCAGCAAGTGTTTACTTTGGCCAAGTGTTACAGAAGCACTGCTCCTTCCTTCCCCTCTACCTACTCCGTGTTCCTCTTTAGGTCGGATAGTGTCCAGTGCCAGGATGAACATATATGTCTTTTTTCACCCTTTCTTTTTATAATAATGAAGCTAATTAATCTCCTACTCTTTAACTTATATGCCTTAAGTACTTTTAAGCAAATTAAAGGGATTGGCAGAATTAGGTTGAAGGGCACAGTATTACATTTGAATTCTATGTAATTTCCCATTACCTCTATAATATCTCAATACTCACCGTTCAGATGGATTAATTATTGAGAGGTGAGTAATTCATTCAGGGCTTAAACATGTATTAACATCTATTCACGTGCTGTAATTGAAATATAGTAGTCTCTCGTTGCAAACTTTTTATGAAGCTTGATGGCTTTTTCTAGTTTTCCTATAGTTTTGTTTTATATCTAATCTTCTAAACACAGTCACTTGGTAGAAAGGCCAGCAGCCAGTGTTCTACCTTAATGTTAATTGGAGGATTCATATTGGAGAGAAATTTTGTAAATGTAGAGTTTATGGGAAGGCTCTTAGCATATGTTCTAGTCTTTGTGAATTTCAGTTACAGTGAATGAGGAAGTTTCTTAAAGCATTGCATCAGTCTTAATAAACTTCTCAGTATTTGTACAGGAGGGGAGCCTTTCAGAGATGTGAGGTTGATAAGAAATTCAGAAATATTCAAGATTGATTATATCTGAAAATGCACCTTGGAAAGGCTCCATGACAAAGGTGTTTTGGTATCAAATTTACTGCACACGAGAGGATTCATATCAAGGAGAAAACCAGCGATCACTGGGCACATGTCAGACCTTCAGCCAATGTTACAAACTTACCAGACATGAAAACATTTATGTTGTAAAGAAAAAATTAAACCAGATTCACATACCTAAGTTATGAGAACATCTTGGTCTAACTTTTATGAAGATCAATACTAGCAAATCCATGTGACTAAGAACCAGGTGGTTTTATTTCATAGTAGTTGATAAATTTTGAAATTTAATAGCTCCCACCAGTTGATGATTTTCAGCTTGAGGCAAAGAACTCTGAGTTGGCATGGTTCACCACAGCTTTTCCTGTGATGGAAGCTGGGTATTATTCATAACCCAGTTTCATTTCATGCTATAACATTTGAAAATGCAGTATTTTAATTCTAAATTAATGGATTTGCACAACTGAACAAAATAGTACTGAAGCACACGTCCATGCAGTCTTTCTCCGCAAGAAGCACCACACAAGGAACATTACAGACAAAGGAACTAGCATATATTGTTAGGCAGGAACATGGCAGCATTTGAGGCCCAGTGGCCTACAGCAGAAATGGGGTGGGGGTGAGTTCAGAGTGGAAGTGTAGGCACTTGGCAGAAAGAAACAGACCATTTAATAATGGTAGCAAAGAGGAAGCCAGGCCACCCAGTTTCTGAAAAGAGAGAGCTTACTGTTAGCCCCAGTAACTGACTAATTCGGTTCAGACCCTCCACTGCTGCATGGCCTGCTACAGTAGCCGAGTGCAGCACTTGAACCCTTGGAGTTAGCTAGTCTCAACTGATGTTTCCTAAGTGTGAAAATGCGGAGTTCTGACGATTTAGTGTGAAAAAAGAATGTAAAATATCTCATTAGTAACCTGTTTTGATTGCCTATTGAAAAGATCATGTTCTTGACATAGTAGGTTAAAATATGTTATTAAAATTGAATTCACCTATTTCTTTTTACCTTTTTTTTTTTTTAGAAATTTTAAAGTAACATATGCAGCTTGCATTTTTATTTCTGCTAGACAGTTGTGCTCTGTAGAAAGTAATTATCAGAGAGACTGCTTGACTCAGAAGAACCAACAGCTTTGGAGAAGTTGAGAAATTTATTTTCAACAGGAATATATCTGGATTCTTGTCGTAATTCATTACAGAGGTTTTATTTCTCATACCGCAGTTAATAATTTTACTCCTTTTACATATGTGTGCTACTTTATATTTTAATTAATTTTAATGTTTGGTTGTTGAAAGGATTCCTAGGACTCCACCATTTATAGGCAAAGTGCACAAAGCAGCAACAGTAGAAGAGGCTCCTTTCTGAAGGGACCTGAGAGTCTCAGGTGCAGGCCCCATGGCCTTGGACACTCAGAGGCCATCACCGGCCCACGTGGCCACACCTGTGGTAGGAGGAGGCCCAGAACCTCCTTGTGGGGGGTCTGTGAGATGGGCATGAAAGCACGTTCTGTCTTTATCATCAGCCTCAACCTGTGTGACTGCCCAGGCACCACCGAAATCAGGTGCAAGTCATAAACCCAGTCATGATTGCTGACAAGTCCTGGCAAGCTGGCGCATCCTGCCCCTAAATAAGCAGCAGCCCATGGATGCAGACATCACTTACCTTGGCCACGGCTTTGGCCCCGTGTCAGTAGCGTGCCCCAGGCAACTCTGGAGCTCAGATTGGGGTCGACCCCGAAGCGCCTCGGTTAACCCATGCCAGACTGTATTGAGTACGAATGGTCACCTAGAAACATTGTAGTGGTACTTCAGAGTAAGAAGGGTGTATAGGAAATTCCAAATTCTACCAGAAGAATCCCCTACTTGGGAAACAGAATGACATTTACATCAGACTTTTCATCAGTAGTGCTGGATGCAGGACAACACTGGAACAGTATCTTCTCAGGGCTCAGGGAAGTAAATTGTACCTCAGAAGTCTTCCAGACAGACTACCAGTCATGAAGACGTGGAATGAAGGTTTCTAGAGAGAAGTAAGGATGTAGAACATTAATACCACAGGCTCTCTTTAAGAAAACGGGAGACATACTGGAACAGACCCGTGAGCCCCAAAAGAAGTGCTGTAGGGATCTAGGCAGCTGCTGGCCATCACTGTGCGGCGGCCTGCAGGCAGCCCCCTTGCCCCTCTCCTCCATCTCCATGGTCTCTTCAGGCTGTGCCCAGCGTTTAATGCAGCTCTGCCTTTTCCACACCTGTCCCCCGTTCTGACTGGTCTCACTCTGAACTTAGGACCTGTGTGCCGCCCAGCTGCATCTCCCCCTCTCCTCTGTCTCTGTGCTTCTGACTCCGAAAGGACTGTCCATGCGTCAGTCTGAGGGCTTCCCTTCTTTCAGACACTTAGAATCATCTCTTGCTCCTCCTTTGCTTACGCCCTACATGCAGTATGTTAGCTGGTTCTGTCCACACCGTTTCCCAGATGCACCCAGAATCCACCCACTTCATCTGACCCCTACCGCGACAGCTTCTTCGAGCCACGTGGTCTCCCGACATCCCGCTGTCTCCCTAGGGACCCCTCAGTCTGTTCACAGCCCAGCAACCGGGTGATCCTATGAAAATGAAAGCCAGAGCGTGTCACTCCTCCACTCAGAACCTTCCGTGGCTTCCTGTCTCATGTAGGGTGAACATTTAGGTCCTTCAGAAGCCCCTGACTCTCTCCTCTCCCTGTCACGCTCCATGACCTTCTCTCCTCCGGCTCGCTCCCTTTGACTTTCTGCTTCCTGGGCTGTTTCTCTAACTCTTGTAATCAGTCATTTGCTCAAAACCTCCAGCAACTCCCCGTTTCTCTCAGAGGAAAGCCAGGTTCCTTCAGCGGCCTATGAGGACCTATAGGATCTGGCTCCTTGTGGCCTGTTCTTATTTCCAGTGACTGCCCTCACTCCCTCGGCCTCCCAGCCCAGGAGTGCTTCCTCTCCTCCACGTTTTCTGTTGCCCATCACCCCATTTTGATAATGATTTCTCCTTATTGAGATTGTCTTGTTTCTTGATTTGTTTGCTCTTCTGTTCTCTGCTTTCTTCCCCCAGACTGTAAGCTCTGTGACAGCAGGGGCCTTTCTGCTTCTGGTATTTGTCCCCAGCATCTTCTGCAGGGCCTAGCAGGCACACAGTATGTACTTGACAGACCCCCATTTGAGTGACTACATGAAATCCTAGATGAAATGGAGTACTTTTTTTTTTTTTTTTTAAGATTTATTTGACAGAGAGAGACACAGCGAGAGAGGGAACACAAGCAGGCAGAGAGGGAGAGGGAGAAGCAGGCTTCCTGCTGAGCAGGGAGCCTGATGGGGGGCTCGATCCCAGGACCCTGGGGTCACGACCTGAGCCAAAGGCAGAGGCTTCACCGACTGAGCCACCCAGGCGCCTGAAATGGAGCACTTCTGACAGAAATGTAAATTAGGAACATTGGTTGCAGAAGTAGAAAGTAGTAGACTAATGACCATAAAAGAAATTGAATTGATAATCAGAGATTACACCTATTGAAAACCAT